TTATTTATTACTTACTTATGGTGTAAATTGCAACAAATGACTCTTTTCAGGCATTTGATGAAGCCATTGCTGAACTCGACACTTTGAACGAGGATTCCTACAAAGACAGTACCCTGATCATGCAACTACTAAGGGACAACCTGACTGTGAGTTTTAAGTTACACTGTTTGGTTTCAGATTGATGCAGGCATATCTGTCACAAGGCACTCTAACATTTGTCCTCTGTGTTTCCAGCTGTGGACATCAGAAAACACGGCAGATGAGGGAGAGACCGAAGGAGGGGAAAACTAATGGAATTGCACTGTTAATCCACCTACACTCTTTATCTTAAACACAGACAGCTTATATACATCCCCCTCCACTCCATCAGCCCCTCCCACTTCTGTATGACAAGCAGCCTGAATTGCTTCCGACCAACTAGTTTACCCCTCTCAGTTCACTGTGAGGTGACAGGGTAATTTTTTCAGTTGTTAGCAAATTCAGTCACTCTGTGGAAAATGTGTTGATTAGCAAGTTCACATTGCTGTTTTTTGTTTTTTTTTGGTTCTTTGTCGGCTTTGTGCAAGTCTGCGTGTCGCAAGCGTGAGTGGATGTGAGAGGTTGTGCGTATGGTCTGGGGTCGGAAGGGGGGGTATTGTGAAATCTAATCGTCCTTCCAAAGTCCTTGGTCCCCTGCTAGTTGTGCATTTTTCATCCCCCTCCCCATTATTATTTTTTTTTTCTTTTTGTTACGTTTATTATTTGTGATTCCTTGTGATATTTACAGGTTTTATTGTATGGTAATTAAACTGGCAGTTGATTTCCACCAAACACTGTGATGGTAGGCATTCCATTTGCTTCACAAGCCCCCCTCCCAAAAAAAGTTTTTTGTTCAAATTCTCAGACATACAATCCTGTATTCAACTAACTGCAATTCTGCTGTGGGCTCATACAGAAAGGAGGCAGGCTGTATTGTGACACTGACATTTTGGTGTAATGCTCCTTGATCATGTTCACAAATTTCACAGTTTAAGCTCTGAGGGACCCCTTAAATTTGTCATGTTCAATTTAAGACATTCCACATTATTAGGCTTTTTGGAAAGGCAGTGCTTTTTTTTCTTTTCTTTTTGAACTAGGTATGGGTTGTCATTGTAGTTTTACTCACTGTTCAGGTGCTGCTTGACCTCAGTACAATGGAAATTGTATGTGCGTAAATGTGGTTCCATGTATTTTGCAAGATTGACTATCATCTGTATGTAAAACCTACAGTAACCTTTTATTGATGTTAATTGAAAATGTCTTACCACACTGTATCAACCCTGCTTGCAAAATATTCCTCTTAAAGCGGTTGTTTTCTCCAAAAAATGTTTTTGTGCCTGGCTTTCTCTTGCAGCTTTTTTTTTTTCTTTCTTTTTTTCTCCCCCATTTAGACAGCAGCATCTGCTTGTTGATGAAATCTGCTTGTTGATGAAATCTCACAGAGAAAGAGTTAAACCATTTATTAAAAGGAAATAGTTAAATATTTATTAGTCTTCACCCAGGTTCATCAATCTGCTGTTTAAAGGTAGCTGATGTTAACGGATTATCTAAAATCAGGTCTCCTTAAAAGGGTTCAGAAGGCCATTTCATGACTTTTGGAAAGAAACTCAGTGTCACAATACCATGTTATCACCACTACATTCCACACTCTTGTAGTTGAAGACACCATTCCACATTATAGCTGACAGTCTGTTTACTCTGGCAGTGCTCCAATGAATTGATATAATTTGTTGGGGGAAAAAAAATTTCATGTCAGTTTATTATTATGCTTGATGAAAATGCAGTTAGTGAATGTGGAACGAAGCCTGTCTGTATATCAGGTATCTACTTGCTTTGTTTTTACTGACAAGTCTTAATGGCTAAAATTTGCTTCTGTAACAGTCTTATTACCCAGTGCACACACGTGGTTGTGAAAATTTAGATTAGCTATTAAAAAAACGAGAAAAAAAGCAGTGACGAAATGGAGATAAACAATGGTTGGTGTAATTCTAGCTTTGTGTTTATGTATCTTAAAACCATTCTAGTTTCACTCTACATGTAAGAAATAGGAACGTGTCAAAACCATCCAGTGAAATAAAGTTTCGTTTAAGATAACAGGCAAATTACGTCTTCATTTTTGTTCACCAGGTATATTTAAAAATTAAAACGTAAAACAAAAGCCTAAAAAACCTCTGAAATTTAGCAAAAAGGTACGTGAGGGTTATAATTGCCCTCTTGTCTACAAGCAAAGGGCAAGCTAAATTAGATTAGCGCTTGATATGCTAATGAGAACTACTTTGCATCGCGGAGAGTGACGTGCATTTAATGTTTGAACCCCTCACAGCTTAATTGAAACTGTATTGCGCGGAGAGGAGGTGCAGGTGTTCAACGGCGCTAATTAAATCAAAACAAGCTCCCGCCCATGTGGAAAGTGTACAGACGAGCTGCTTAACGGGAAATCTCCAGTACGACGCAGTAGCTTGAAATGTAAGTTTATTTAGTCGAAGTCACACGGTTCCTCATCTTAGCTAACTTTGATGAATAGCTCAGAAACAAAGGACACATGCGTCAGCTAATTTTACTGCTTAGCTTTGAATCATGTGCTACGTGTTAAAGTTTCATAACTTAAATGTTTACCATGTTAGGAATTTTCAGTCCAAATTATCCACATTCCACAGCTTTCTGTCTTGAAGTTGTCTTTGTATTAACTTTCGGATACACTTCAATATTTTTATGTTGGGGTACTTTATCCACTCAGACACGGAGTTAACAATTTACGTGCTTAATGCAAACCTAATTTAGTCAGGCCTGGAGCAGGGCCTGCAGATTCTTTTGTGTTTTGATTCACGTGTTGACATTTTGAAGGATGTGTAGTTTGTGACACTGTTAAACTGCATCATGCAGATCTGTTTTTGTTATTCGTTCCACCCCTGTTTGAAATAAATGGTTTGAACACATGTAGATGACATTGAAAACACATTAAAATTAATTTCTTTGACACTAAATCTCATGGAAATCAGATAAAACACAGTGTTACGACCCGGCTCAAAGCCGCAACATAAAAAAGGAGACGAATACCAGAGTGTAGGTGAACAGAGGTATTCACATTTAACATAATTTCTTCTACTTTTGAGTACTAAAAAAACTTCTCAAATGTGATGTATTAACAAAGAAAAACATGTCTGCCAATACAGATCAGTACAATGAAGTGCATCTAATTTTACCAGCACATTAGAAATGACTATAACAAGAAAAGAAACAAAACAAAAACAAGTCTAAATCACTCATAACTGTTTTTCTCCAAGCAGCTATTACCCAAAATGAACAGCAGTGGACCAGCATATCCTCTTGCTTCTCTGTATGTTGGAGACCTGCACCCTGATGTCACAGAGGCAATGCTTTACCAGAAGTTTTCTCCCGCTGGGCCAATCATGTCGATCCGTGTGTGCCGGGACATCATCACCCGCAGATCTCTGGGATATGCCTACGTAAACTTCCAGCAACCTGCTGATGGTACAGTACCAGTGTGGTTGATTTGTGACCTTTTGCTGCTCAGTGAATGCTATAAAATGTTAAGACTTGTTTCAGTCTAATGAGAGCAAACTTTTGAGGTGATTCTAAAGATCACTGTCTTCAGAGCTGAATTTAAAAGTGGGAAGGACACTACACCTTAAAAACGATCAGCAAATTCATGATAGTTGGAGGATTTGTGATGAAAGGTTAGTCTATAACATGGCAGCAAAATCAAAGAAATGTCTAAAATTTCATAACTTTTCCTGAAAGAAGTCAGGAAAAATATCACGATTGAATAAACTAAATTAAGTAAACTAAATTATTAACCACATTTTAAACCTAAAGTACTGCAGAGTGGAATGAATTTACAACTTAAATTAGAGCATAAGCTTAATTCTCCATAGTGTCACATGCAATGGAAATATAGTGAATATATTCTCCACTTTATTAGGTACATACTCCACTCCTTGTGGCAGAATGGATTTTAATGTTGTTTATTCCAAATTCTGACATTACAATCTGTCGTAGCGGAAGTCAAGGCTCATCAGAGCACACAGTCTTCTGTTGTTCAGTGTTGGTGAGCCTGTGTGATTTGTAGCCTCAGTTTTCTGCTCTTAGTTGACAGGAGAGGCCCCTAGTTAACATGATGTTTTCGCCCAGCTGTTGCTAACTGGATGGTTAGAGATGACTGTGTGGGGAAATTCAAGCAGATCACCAGTTTTCTGAAACACTCAAAGTTACTTAAATCACATTTGTTTCACATTCTGATGCTCAGTTTGAACTTCGGCAGGACATCTTGCCCATGTCTACATGCCTCCCTGCACTGAGTTTCTGCCATGTGATTGGCTAAATGAATATTTGCCTCAAGGAGCAGTTGAACAGGTGTACCTAACAAGACAGGGGACTGTATACAATATATATTATTATACATTTTTGTAAGTAATTTCTTTTAATTTTTCTGCTTTGTTTTAGCGGAGTGTGCCCTGGATACGATGAACTACGATGTCATCAAAGGTCGGCCAATCAGAATAATGTGGTCTCAACGTGACCCAGGACTCAGGAAATCTGGTGTGGGTAACATCTTTATCAAGAACATGGATGAGTCTATTGACAACAAAGCACTGTATGACACCTTCTCAGCCTTTGGAAATATTTTGTCCTGTAAGGTGAGTGACCTGGGCTGTCTCAGAGCTGAAGCAGCTGTTTGTGGAGTGTCTACTTTTTTCTTTTTTCTTTTTTTTTTTTAAGTTGATGGTTACTGATACAGCAAAAGCTTTGTAATTTGGACCCATTATAATGTTTGTCTTGTAGGTTGTTTGTGATGAAAAAGGATCCAAAGGCTATGGATTTGTTCATTTTGAGACTCAAGAGGCTGCGAACCGGGCCATTGAAACAATGAATGGGATGCTACTGAATGATAGGAAAGTGTGAGTGAACTAAATACTCAATTGTTTACCACTGTTGTTTCCAGTCAGTGGTTAAATGTAGCCTACAAAAATAAGCTCAGGCAAAGATTAGAGCAGAATATGTACAAGGATCAGCCACAACATTAAACCACTGATACATCAAATTATCTGCGGTTATGTGCTCCCTTTTTTTTTCTCCTTTTTTTTTCTTCATTTTGAGCTCATTTCAGTTTAAGGCTCAAATGAGCTGTTTTACATTATACATGATTTAATGTGATCTGACGTTTACATGCGCCAATGGATTTAATCAGAACTGTGTGACATCTGTAAAAATGATGACTAATTCACACATTTACAATCCTCTGTGGCTATCCTTTGTGGCTTTTCCGTGACTTTCTGTTCAGCAAAAAAGATTAACATGTACAAAACCAGTGCCTGATGGCCAAACGGCTCTCTGGAGATGAGTTTTACAATTCTAGAGTATATTGAATTTCCTTCATAAAACAGGCCCCGGTAGTTGCTGTAATTATGTGTTGCTCCTAACGCTTTTAAATGTGGGTGCTCACATTACTTGGTGGGGAAAAAGCAAGTCATTTTCAGTAGACGAGGCGATGTGACATTTCACATTGACACCAGACACTTGTTTCTGTGTGCTATGCTACAGATCAAACTTTAATTGTTATCAACTCTTTGTGTTTTTGTGTAGCCTGCAATGGTTGGTGATTTTTTT